ATTATCTGACTCTTCAAATAAAGTTTGTCAACCTCTGAAGTAAAACAGCAAGAATTCTTTTAACTGCTTTGAAGAACATTTTGGCAATTTAAAAGTATGCATACATTTGAGCCTGTAATTCCACTTCTAGGGATTTACCCTAGAGAAATTCTAACACATAAAAACATTAAGGAAATGTGTACAATAATGTTCACTGCCTCCCTGTTGATAATAGCAAATAATTGGTATAACATGGTAACAACAGAAGTCCTTTAACGTCAGCAGGGGAAGCAGAATCAGCAACAACCCAAGGCTGAATTATCAAGGGTGGAGCTCAGACGAACCTCTGCTCTCTAACTTTACCACCTTTGCTGACACCAGCCCTCGCTCCCAGGCCCCTCTCTGCTCTGCTGGGTTTGCTAATTTGTTGCAGTGACCAAACAGAACACAGACTACACTCATGATGGTGAGGTTTATTAGGGAAGCTACAGGTTATAATTCAGCATCAGAATCAACTCGGAAGTAGCAGGGACACCTGAGAAGCAGGATGCTACTTGTGCATCAGGACAGCGTCCAGCCAGGGAAGTGCCCACAGGTAGGCCACACACGCAGCCTCTGCCCTTCGAGGACCAGTGCTATAACTCGTCCTCTCCTGATAAATGCCTAGAGGCATCCAACTCCAGCCTCCTGACCAGAGATGCTTAGCTCTTCCTCTGCGGGCCAGCGAGTCACTGCAGCCGGCTTGCTCTGCAGGCGGAGAGCACCACACTGTGGTCCAGCTTGTCTCTGGTTCTCCCTGTTCATTCAGCTTCATCCCTTCTTGCAGTGTCTGCAGTGTTTACACTTTCTGTCTCCTGCGCCTAAGAGGCTCTCAGAGCAGGAACCTCAGATGCAAAGGACATGGTCTGCTTCAGCTTTATTGACAATAGTGACGCTTCCCCAGCCTCTGTGGACTTGCCTCCTTGAAGCCTAGTGTGTAAGATAGAATTGCATACCCCCAAGTTCGTGCATGTAAACACAGAATGGCTTTAAATCCATGGTCTTCTCAATTGCTTGCTATACATCTGAGAGCTGGGTAATGACTAAAGATAACAGAAGAAAAAATGATGTCTTTGATTTGTGGTGCTGAAGAAGAGTATTGAATATACTATGGATTGCTAAGAGAACAAACAGGTCTGTTCTGGAAAGAGAAAAATCAGGCTGCTCCTTGGAGGCAAGGATTTTGAAGCTACATCTCCCCTTCTTTGAGCATGTTGCCAGGAAGGACCATTCCTTGGAGAAGGACATGATGCTTGAAAGAGTAGAAGGTGAGAGCAGAGGAGGAAGAACCTGGATGAGATGGATCGACACAGCGACTGTGGCAGTGGGGTCAGGTGTGTCAGAGACGGTGAGGTTGGTCAGGATGGGGCAGGGGTTAGAGCTATTGTTCACAGGGTCGCTATGAATCATGGTTAAATTGATGGCACATTAACAACAATAACGATGTTATTGTTGTGTGCTGTCAAGTCGGAACCGATCCGTAGCTGACCCTCCAGCGGGTTTTCAGAAGCGGTTAATTGCATGGGAGGAGAGTGCTCAAGTCGGTTCCACCAGACCGTAAACAACAAGGTTGCTATGAATTGTAGTTGACTGCATGGTATCTAACAATATCAACAATAATATACTCATACATGGTAAACCTTTAGAGAAAAGTAGTGAACCAATAAAATCTGGATGGGAGTTACCCAGGATGGCATGGAAGAGGAAAAGAGTGGAGTCAGGGAGGGGCCAGATGAAGTATCTTAGTTTCCAGTAATGTTCTGTTTTTAAAGCTGAATGGGTGTTTATTTGATAGGATATATTTTGGTTATTAATCTTATGCATACTGTTTGATAAAAATGACATAATTTAAAAAGATAGATTATGTAATGCATGGATGTTTCTGTTTATAGAAAAGAAATGCGCACAGGCACCTTTTTCTGGTCTTCTCCCAATTCTGGTGCATCCCTTCTTTCTCTGCTGACTCAGGTACAGCAGGTCCGTCCCTGGTGGCTGCCTGCCTTGCCTGGTGTCTGCCTCTCTCTGAACCTAAATCCTGCAGGTGCTGCAAACGGCCTCTGCCCCACCTCACAGCTCTCCAGGAGCCTTGGACTGTCCCGGGAACACATCTACTCCTCCACTGCCATCCAGCCGTTCAGGCTCATCAGCCCGAGAGGCCCATGCAGAACTGCCTGTAGGAGGCTGAGAACCTAAACCTTTACAGCAGGAGCAGATTGTCATATCTCTGTCCTGGGGAGCAGCTGGTGGGTTTGAACTGCTGACCTTTTAGTTAGCAGCGGATGTTTTAAACACAACAATGCCAGGGTCCACCATGTACACTACAAGCTGAAAAGAATTTCTTTCTTTCTAAGAAGGTTCATCCTGACCTCCTGGTCTCTGCTCATCCATCCAGAGGTAAGCATTTGCCCTGGTCAAAGGGTCCTACTCTAGGGAGCTCTGGTAGCCTAATGTCAAGAAGCTGCACTGCAGTCCCAGAGGTACATGGTTTGAATCCACCAGATGCTCTGCTGGAGAAGGAGGGGCAATCTCCTCCTGTACCAATCAGATTCAATTTGATGGTACACATAAAAAAAATAATAAAAGAAAAATTTTTTTAAAAGGGTCCTACTCTGCCCCTTGTGCTCATCCTGAAGGAGTCATACCTTTCCTTCAAAGTCCACCTAGAAGCCACCTCCTTCTTGAAGCCCTCCTGGATTTTGCCAGTGACATCAGTTCCTCTTCTGCCTTTTATAGAGACCATTCCCTTCTCTGCTTTGGCTGTTCTGAGGAGCACAGCCCTCTGGGCTGTGTTACCTTAGGTGTGTCACCAGGCCTCTCTATGCTGTAGACTACAGATCATAATTCTATCAAAGAGAACTTTCAATTCAGTCTTTCTTTTGCAGGGCCCAGGAGTACTCTGTAAAATGTCACTATAAGACTTATGTCTGAGATGGTATTGCCAAATGTTTGTTCCTAGTCCATAGGTTTTCTTTTTACCCCATTGGAAAAAGTTTTTTATGTGCACAGGGATTTAATCTTTAGAAGGTCCCATTCATCAATTTTATCCTTTTCAGATTTCTGACTGTATTTGGCAATCTCTTTATACTGTAGAGTAGGCCTTCTAAGCTTGATCCCAGTTTGTATATTATGAACTTTATGGTTTTAGGCTTTACTCCCAAGTCTCTGATCCACTTTGAGTTGATTTTTGTGTATGGTGTGAGATGTGGATCCTGTTTCAGCTTTCTGCAGGTAACAGTCCAGTTTTGCCAGCACCATTTGTTGAAGAGGTTCTCATTTCCCCATTGATTAATTCCTTGTTGAATATCACAAAAGGAATGATAACCCAATGACTAAATGGGCAAAAGACATGAAAAGAATTTTCACAGAGGAAGATATTTGAGTGGGCTAACAGACACATGAAGAAATGCTCAAATTCACTGACAGTAAAAAAAAAAAATCACTGGCAGTAAGAGAGATGCAAATCAAAGCCATAATGAGATACTGTCTCACTCCAGTAGCAGTGGCAAAGTTTAACAAGACAGTAAGTAATAAATGTTGGAGAGGATGTGGAGAGATAGGAACCCTTATACATTGTCGGTGGGACTGTGAAATGGTACAACTCTGGAAGGCAGTTTGACACTTCCTCAAAAAGCTGAACATAGAAATTCAATACGACCCAGCTATTCCATTGCTTGGAATATACTCCGAGAAAATGAGAACTGAGGCTCACACTTTGTACACCAATGTTCATAGCACTGTTATTCACCATTGCAAGAATATGGAAATGGCCCAGATATCCAGCCACAATCGAGTGGATTGAGAAATTATGTTACATTCACACAATGAAATACTACGCAGTACACAGGAGCACTGATTTTGTAAATTACCAGTTAACCTGGGAGGGACTGGAGAGCATTATGCTGAAAGAACTAACTCAGTCCAATAAGGATAAATATTGTATAAAAGCATTATTGTAAAACAAGTATGAAGATCCAAGGCGGCAGAGGGTGGAAGCAGAGGGGTGAGGATGGGGGGGGGGACTGTTAATCATAAGGTCGCACAATTTGATGGGGAGAGGGTAAAGGAAATGGAAAAGATTCGGGGTGAAAAACAGTGTGTTCGAACTTTGTAAAGAAATAAATATAAAATTAAAAAAAAATTTAAAAACCCTGTCAATTGCACGATCCTGAGCCAAGGATACACCTAGAAACAAGGCCTTCTATTTGATGTGGAAACCAGACCTTCAAACTCTGCTCCTCCTGATGGAGCTCTCCAAAAGACACAGTGGTAAGAAGCTGTACTGTGAGGCCAAAGGCACGGGTTCGAATCCACCACCTGCACCAGGAGAAGATAAGCAACCCCAAGAGTCTCACTTCTCTGTTCTGCATGCACAACAGCATCCTCGGTTCTTAAGGACTGGACCTTCCCGCTCAAAGCCCAGCTGACAAGGGCCAGCCCCTCCCGCCCTTCCTTTCCTGTGACAGACCACGCCCACACCACCCAGGAACCGCCCACGTCCCGGCTCCGCCCACATATGACGTCACGGACATGACCCCTTCAGACCTGCATCTCATTGGTTGGCTCCACGCCTGGCCCCGCCTTAAGTCGCGCTCATACCTTGACGTCACCGCCACGCTGGTCCCTGCACGCCGTCCTCTGGTTGGTTCGTTTCGCGCCCAGGCCCGCCCTCACGACCGTTACTTCCGGGCGGAGCGGGACGGGTGGGCTCCCGAAGGCGGAAGTGCGCGGCAGAGCTGGTAAAGCCGGCTGAGGTGTCCTTTCTGGTCCCTCCCGCCGCTTCCGGGTCTAGACTCCCGGAGTCCGCGGCCCGCGGTGCAGATCGAGGCGCAGTGGCCATGAGGCCGCGGGGCCCGGCGGACTCTGGGGGCTGATCCTTCCGCCACCCCGCGGCGCCTCCTCCAGGCAGCCCCCCGTCCTGCGCGCGGCCTTTCGAGGTCCGATCGCTGCGCCCATCGTCGCCTTGGAGACGCCGGGGTCCCGGGCCCCCGGACACCCCACCATGACCGCAGCCGCCGCCTCCAACTGGGGGCTGATCACCAACATCGTGAACAGCATAGTGGGGGTCAGTGTCCTCACCATGCCCTTCTGCTTCAAACAGGTGAGCGGGGCCACGTGGCTGCAGGTGCGGCACGGTGAGCGTCTCGGCCAGGGTCATCCAGAGCCCAGGGACAGCGTGTCACAAAGCAGATCGGCTCCCCGACGTGGACACTGGGGGGTGCCGAGCTGTCACTGCAGCCGGTCCGGCCTTAAAAGCACAGGGGTCAGCGGGGCCCTCAGTGGGGGGACGCAGAGGACAAGCAGGTTGCCATCCTAACGTGTCCCAGCCATGCAGGAGGTGGTCATGGCGGTGCGGCTGGCGTGGCCGCTTGTCCTGTCCCCCAGTCCACCGACAGCGCTGGGACACAGCGCTCTGACACTCAGAGCTGGACAGTCAGTGCGGGGACACTCAGTGTGGGGACCCTCAGCACTGGACACTCAGCGCTGGACACTCAGCGCTGGACACTCAGAGCAGGACACTCAGAACAGGGACACTCAGCTGCTCAGTGCGGGGACACTCAGCACTGGACCATCAGTGCTGGACACTAAGTGCTGGACACGCAGCGTGGGGACACTAAGTGCTGGACACTAATTGCTGGACACTCAGTGTGGGGACCCTCAGCACTGGACACTCAGCACTGGACACTCAGTACTGGACACTCAGTGCTGGACCCTCAGCGCTGGGCGAGGGAGGCTGGGGGGGCTCCGCTCGCTGCTCCGTGGTCACCGGGACTCAGTTTCTCACTGGTGTCTGGTGGGTGTGGACAGCTGTCCGCTGCCTCTTGGGCCTCTGCTGGCCGGCTTGAGTGGGCCTCAGAAGGGCAGGGGCAGGAAGAGCTGGGGGACCTCAGCTGTCAGCCGTCTTGTGTGACCAAACTGAAGAGGTGGGAAGATGGCAACGAGACGGGTGACTGGGATGTAGTCTGGTGGCCGTGTTGCGTTCATTAGCGTGGGACGGTTTCTCTCCCAGGCTTGGCTCTACTCCTCGTTTCCACCACACATTCCTCAGTCACATTTTCAGTGAGTGGGTTCATTTTAGATTAGTACTTTGAAGTTTTTATGTTTTGCATGTTTTAAACTAAGAAATTGCAAAAAAATTTTTTTTCTAGTCTGAGAATTTTCAAGGCAGAGCCCCCGTGTGAGCGGGGCGCCTGCCCAGGGAGCCTCTGGGTGTGAGGACGGAATCCTGCCAGCAGCAGGTGGCAGCGGGCCAGGCTGGCAGCTTCTGGAGCCCGCTGGTGACATCTGCACTAGGGCCTGTGAATCCCAGCTTGGGGGGGCCCTGTGGGTGTTTCTGGAAGGACCTCCAGTCCCAGCATGCACTGTGTCGGAGTAGACTGCCTGCTGGGATGTGTAGTGTACTGGTCACCACTGTCACTGTGGACAGCTTCCAGGGAGCCCCACAGCCGTCAGCTTTAGACCGGGCTCTGGCAGACACGTCTGGTAAAATGTGTTTTAGGGCCAGGGCCTTTTGACTAGCTGGTGCCCACTGCCATGGTGGACGGGTCAGTGCTGGAGGGGATGTCAAGCTGAGCAGGTGGACGGGCCAAGGAGTGCAGCGTTGCAGTTTCACCCAGGGTGAGCACGCAGGAAGCATGGGCAGGGCGAGTGTCCTGTGTCCTGCCCACGTGGGACCAGACTCTCCTGAGACCCCCATCCTTCTCTGCACCACCTTACCCATGCCCTGAGGATAGGAGCCCTGCATGAGGCCCTGTGGGGCTGGACCCGCTCCCTCCTCAGCCACCCCTCCATCCTCCTCACCAGCTGCTCCCCAAGGACAGGGGCCTCACGTGAAGTCAGCAGCAGTGTTGTCAGTGTTTGGCAGCAAGCTGTTTTAAGTAGTCTCAGCGCTTTTTAAAACATTCCGTTTGTGAATTTTGAGGTTCAGTTGCAGGGCAGTGTGGGTTCAGTGGCAGAAGCCTTTCCTTCATGCAGGGACCCTGGTCTGGTCCTGCCAACACCTGGTACACAGCCACCGTGTGTCTGTCAGTAAGGCTCGCACGCTGCCTCCCGCTCATCAGGTTACAGTGGAGCCTCCATACTGAGATGGAGGAGGAGGAAAGGCCTGGCCATTATCAGCGCACACTCTGTGGGTCACTCCAGTCCAGTCCATTGTGCCAGGGTCACCGTGACTGGGGAGCTAGCAGCAGCCGTTTACGTCCTGTAAACCTCCCACCGCCATGCAGTCGGTCTCGGCCCCAGTGTGCGGTGACCTGTGGGCTGGGGAACTGCCTCTCCCGGCTTCCGACGCTGTCAGTCTTTGTAGGATAGAATTCCTTATCTTCTTTGGAGCAGCTTTTACGTTCAGTGTGCCAGCCTCTGGTTGGCAGCCCGGTGCCTGCCCGCGGTGCCGGCGTGCTGTAAAGTTCACCTGTCTTAGTGCTCAGCTCTGCAGGTCTCGACGCGTGCCTCCTGTTACAGGTTCCTCAGTCTGATGGGGAACAGTCTCCTCCCCAGGTTCCCCCTCAGCCCCTCTCCTTTGCCCGGCCTCAGCCAGCAGCCCCTGTCCTCCTCTTTGCCTTTTCCCAGAATGCAGTGTGACGTCTGGGGTCTCAGCACAGTGCACTGGGAGGTGTCCGTGTCGCAGTACCGTGGTCTGTCCCTTTTCATTGCTGACCTGTGCTCCTGGGCCTCTGCTGCCTGTCCACCCTCTGAACGTGGGAGGCGTGGGAGAGCCCGCCCGGGGCTGGTGTACAGGTGCTGTGGGAACACCTGTTCTCCTCTCCCAGGTAAATAGCTGGGAGTGCTGGGTCATGTGGCACATGGCTGTTGGCCGTGAAGAAGGTGTAGCTGTCGTTTGTCATGGCTGCCTTCCAGGCCTTTCCCTCTCCTGCTGGTCAAGGTAGATGGAAAGCATTGCCCTTTGGGGCGTGTGTGGGAATCTGGGGTGAGGGCGCTGATCGGCTGTGACATGCCAGGAAGTGCTGAGGGCCAGGACAGGTGGATCACACAGGTTCTCTTGCCAGACAAAGCGTGTGATCTGTCTGTGTTGGGGGTGGGGGCACCCAGGGAGGATGTGCTTGCTGTAGGGCCTTGCTGGGGTGTGTGTGAAGTGTGCATGCGGAGGTGGCAGCAGGACTTGAACCCTGCTGGCGCGTGTGTGTTTTCACCACAGTAAACTAAGCAGCCCAAGGGGACAAGGAAGGGTAAACTTCTGAGCTGTAGGCACATCTGCTCATCTGGAGGACTGGGGACCATAGTCTCGGGATGTCAAGGTCAGTTGGTGTCCAGAGAGTCCACGTGTCTCTCTCCTGTTTGGTCAGTAGCGACCAGGGTCTTTGAAAGCTCATGAGCAGCCAACTGAGGGGGGCTTTCCCTGTCTGAGGTAAGGAGGAGAGAAAGCAGAAATGCCAGGAAAGGGTTAGTCCGAGGGCCAGTAGACTATGTGAACCTCACTGCTCCACAGTCTTGAGACCATAAGGACAGGTGATGCCCAGCCACCACGGCTGCCCACTCTTTTTTTTTTTTAAATTTTATTATTTTTGTGTGCGTGTACCGTCAAATCAGATCTGGTACAGGAGGAGATTGTCCCTCCTTCCCCGGCAGAGCATCTGGTGGATTTGAACCGTGCACCTCTGGGATTGTAATTGCAGCTCCTTGCCACTAGGCCACCAGAGCTCCCCTAGCTGCCCACTCTTAAGAGGACCAGCATAGATGGTCCCGTCCAGGGGGCAAAGATGTGGAACGAAACTCAGAATCATAAACTCATAAAAGTGTCAAAATACTAAAAATGATAGAACCTCCCAAGACTATGACTTACAGTTACCCTTCAAACCTAGAGCAGAACTCACCTCCTGGTTCAAGTCTCAGCCAACCAATAGGCAGGCTCGTGCGGTAGGCAGTGACACCGGGGAGGGACTCACTCCTTAGAATAACCAGCTCAGAAGGGCATTTGTCCAGGGACGAAACCAGGAGGAAGAGTGGAAATGAGGGTCACGGGGGGGAGTGGGAAGATGGGCCTCTGTAACCACAGCCCTAGAACAAGGTGCATGTGGATGGTCGAGTGGAAACCGGTTTGCTCTGGAAACTCCAATCACAGTAAAATTGTTTAAATGCTATAAAACCCCAAAAGATCGTGTGATCAAGCTGACTGTCCCCTCTGTGACCTGCCTTGTTCTCGTCCCCAGTGTGGCATTGTCCTGGGTGCCCTTCTCCTCGCGCTGTGCTCCTGGATGACCCACCAGTCCTGCATGTTCCTGGTCAAGGCCGCCAGCTTGACAAAGCGGAGGACCTACGCCGGCCTGGGTGAGGACCCCCCTGTGCTCCGAGGACCCCCCTGTGCTCCCGGGTGTCTTTGGACAGGACTCTCGGCCTTTGCCCTCATCCCCCAGCCTGTTCCTCCTCCCTCCTCTCACCTCTGTGGCCCAGCCTCACGCCTGCCTTCCTCCTCCGCTGCTTCCTCTGAGTCCCATGGACAAGTCCTTGGCCCTCCCTGCAGCCTCGTGTACCCCTGAGCTGCTGGCCGCAGCGTCACCCCATAGCTCGCTCCTGGTCTCGAGCTCGGGAGCAGGAAGGCCCTGAGCCTGTGTTGACCGTTTGGCTCCAGCTGGAGACGGTGTTGGGAGTGGACTGAGTGGATCGGGGGCGAAGGGTTTTCTTGGTGTAAACGTCAGGGGAGCAGCTGGCCAGGTGTTTCTTCCACAGGGCTGCTGGGCGCGTTTGAACGGCCTTTGTTGGGTCAGCGACTGTTCCCCTTGGGCTTTGCCTTGGTTTGCTGTGTTCTTGGAGGGGGTGGGGTGGGGTTGGCTTCAAGGCCCTGTCCCTCACCTTCCTGCTGTCCTCGGGTCGTGCGTAGGCCTCTGCTTCTCCTGTGGGACAGGTGGGTGTGTGGGCTCTCGGGACTGGACACCGGGCTTCTGGTGAGAGCTCAGATTCTCTGCCCAGGAGGCCGGGGCCATGGGACCGACTGCGAGGCCACCCATCTCTCTCGCTCCCTGCCCTCCTGCCGAGGGGTAGGGGGAGAAGACTGTGCTGTCCCACGGACCGCAGGGATTCCTGCCTGCGTGCTTGTGACAGGCAGAGCGGGGGTGTGGCACCTGATGCCCTTCTCGCTCGTGCTGTGCCCTGGCCCCACGTGGCAGCATTTGTCCCTGTACTCAGAGCTCACTGCGGGGGTCTTTACCCTCAAAACTGAGGGGCCACTGTGGAGGCCCAGGACTGCAAGGGTCCCAGAGATGGTAGGGTCCCAGAACTGAAGAGTAAGCTGAAGGCTTCCTGGGGAGTGGGGTCCCTCAGAACTGTGAGGTGTATCTTGGGGCTGAGAGAGGGGGTCTTTTGGTCCTGAGAACTAGGGAGTAATACGTGAAGCTGAGAGGGGGTCCTTGGAGCTAAGTGGGGCCTCTGGAGCTAGGCAGAGACTATCCTAGCTGAGGAGGCCCCCTTGGAGCAGGGGGGACACCTGAGAGCTGGGGTAGCTTCCTCATGGGTGCGGTGCTGGGTGCATCTGTCCTTGCATTCCCCAGAGGGGGTTCATCCACCTCTTACACTTGGCCACCTGTGTATGAAGGCACCTTGGATGAAGCGTGGCTGGAGACGCGGCGTCGGGTGCTGTGGCTGGTGGCTCTCTGTGTGGAACTGCTTGTTTGTGTCCTGATAGAAGACTGTCCCCTTTGCCTGTGGCTGGTGCTTCTTAGAGTCCCAGTGGGTGGACTGGTTTGAGAGATTATAAAGACTGAAGAGTCCAGGCTGGGGGGATCCCGCCTCTCCTTCCACAGAGAACCTTAGGGAGACTTCAGGTGGTCGTGGATGCCAGGTATAAGGTCCACAGAAGAGCTGGGTGGTGTCCATGGCCTGACCATGCACCCTGGCCACTGGCCCTTACGGTGGAGGACCCGCCACCTGGACAGATGTGCCTGGAGGGGAAGCGAGGGCTATCTCAGAGGTCGCTGGCCCAGTCTGTGTGTAGTGAGTCAGAGGCACGGCAGGCCATTGCCTGTCGCTCTGAGGCGTCGCTGAAGTCCCCTGTCAGCTGCAGTCCTGTCTGTCCGTGGGCACTGGATGAGTGTGCGAGGCCTGGACAGGCCACGCCCCAGGCAGGCAGGAGTGGTACAGGTCAATTCCGGGAGTGTACCCACGGACGCAGTGGGTGTTCCTGATGGCGAGAACATCAGTGGTCACTTCTGCCTCTTAGAGGTCAGGTGCCTGCCGGAAGTGGACCCGCTGTCCCAGGCAGGGAGATGGCCGCTCCCTGAGCTCTTGGGTAACCTGTGTGACTTGGAAGGCTTTGCAGCCCGACTGTGACCTTTGACGAGGGGTCAGCTCTTGATGATGACCAGGGCCCTTCAGTCTTGCCCATCTCAGTGTTGACCTTGACCTCATCTATGTCGGGATTCCATTTGGGTTTAGGTGGCCGCGTGATGGAAGAGGCTTTGAGTGGCGGGGGTCTCAGGACCCACAGAGCTCCTCTCACTCGTGTAGAAAGAGCCAAGTGACCCCTCCCCAGCGACAGAGGCCCGTTTCTCCCTCTGAGGCACCAGGCACCAAGCTCTCTCCCTCAGGAATGGAAGGCGGGGCCAGCATGGGGACAGGGCCACACCACCTGGCTGCTTGCTTCCGGCTGCCTTGTCTGCTCTGACCCTCTGTGCGAAGGTGGAAACGCAGGCAGGAAGTGGGGGCTGCTGGCTGGCCAGTGTCCCCCTGTCACGCACCCCTGCTGGCCGCCTCCTGGGCATGAGAGTTGCCCTTCCCTCGGCAGCCCTGCTAGGCTCGCTGAGTCAGCTTCTGCTCGGTGAAGATGAACCTGCTCCCTGCAGCTTCCAGCCTCGGAAAACCCGCGACAGGCAGCTGGGAGAGGCTCAGATCTGTCGGTGCCTGACCGCAGCAGGAGTCCTGAGTGGTCAGGAAGGACGGGGACTGCCCCTCAGAGGGGAGGAAGCACCGTCGGGGGTCCTGCAGAGCTCCAGGCCCTCCCCTAGTCCCCAGCCGGGTCTGGTGGGGTCCTGGTCCTTGGGAATGGGCACGGGTGCAACGCCTGTGCCAGCAGCAAAGACCCTTGGGCTGTGTCTGTGCCCAGTGTCCTGTGTGGTTCAGCCTGGGCAGGTGGGTGGGCAGGCAGCCCCTTCAGTGCATGTGGTTATGCCCATGGACTTTGTCATTTTATTATAGTAAACACACAAGAGACTGCATCTTTGCTATTTCATCAGTCTCCACTGTACGGTCAGTGATACCAGGTTCCTTCATTGAGTCAGTCAGCTGTCCCGACTGTCCCGTCCATCATGCTTCACAGAAGCTCGGGGCCCAGCACCTTGCCCCTCGCTGTGTGGATGTGGGGCCCTAGGTGTCCAAGTGGTTTCACTCTTTGCTATGTTGAGTTCACCAGGCCCACCAGGTGCCAGGGCCTCATTTCTCTTCTGGACAAGAAGGACTGTGGCCCATTTATCGGCCTTCTGCTGAGGGGTGGTGGCTGAGTCCAGCTCTGTGCTTTGTGAGCCCACTACAGTGGACACGGGTGTCCCCTGGGATCTTCTGGGGCGAGCTTGGGGCCTGTGTGTCCTTCCCTTGCTCTCTCGTGACTGCCTGGTTCTCTGCATGGAGCAGTGGCTCTCAGGTGCTGTCCCAGCCGGGTTGGACTCAACGACCCGTGTCCCGCAGAACGCAGCCCTGCCTGACCCTGTGCCCTCCTCACGATGTGCTGGGGTCCAGCTCTTGTCGCAGCCACCGAGCCAGTACGTCTGTTAAGGGTCTTGCTTGTTTCGCTGAGCCTCTAGCATGATGTCCTCCTCCGTGGATTGTAGATCTGAAAACAGCACCCCTTCTGCATGTGCAGTGCCTGAGCACGGGCGCTGCCTGCCCCAGTCCGAGTGGTCAGGTACTCGCTGCCCTGTGCTCGGACTGGCGGCTTCACCCATTCTCCTCTTTTTGTGCTAGCGTTCCACGCCTACGGGAAGGCAGGGAAGATGCTGGTGGAGACCAGGTAACCCCACCGTGTCCCTCTCTCCCACCCCACCCCTGCCCTGGCTGTCCCCATTGCGTCCTCCCGAGCTTCCCTCTCCCACCCCACCCCTACCCTGGGCCCACACCTGTCCCAAATTCCTCTCTCCCTCCCACCTCTGCTCTGGACAGACTTGGGCATTTCCAGACTAATGCTGTTTCACTTGTGAATTAGTCAATAATTTAGGATGTGCTTCTAAAACACTCCTTCATGTAACCTTGACATGATCCAATGGCAAGGTTGAAACCCTTACTAAATCTCACTAAGAAACCAAACAGCTGACCCCTGGTCGATCACAGCCGATCCCTGGCCGATCGCAGCTGACCCCTGGCCTATCGCAGCCGACCCCTGGCTGATCGCAGCCGACCCCTGGCCAATGACAGCAGACTAGCTGTCCCTGGACAGTAGTTAGTGCCCCTGCCCCAGGTCCTCACATCCCCGCACACTGCCCTCCACCCCACTGAGCACAGGCAGCGTTAGATAGAGCAAGTTGTTCTCTGTTTCTGTAGGATTTTACTAGACGGAAAGTTGTCCTTTTAGTCTTCTCGGCTCTTGTAACGGCATCATAAATAGCCTTCTGCAGAGAGAAAGCTAGAACGCCGCCCAGAAGAGGGGGGCCCCCTGTTCTCCATGTAGGGTAAACCCACTGCTGCCCCGTCATTGCTGGTGTGGGGCAGCCCCCCGTCAGGTCTCTGAGGGCTGAATCTCCACAGGAGGAGAATGACGCAACCCATAACACACCAAAGCACGGGGGCGCACTCCAAATAAGACCTCCCCCTCTGTAGAGCACCCGTCCTGGCCAGAGGCCCCTCCACCCACCCAGCCATCGAGTGTTCTGTCTGAGGAGGGGGCCGTGGAGGTGTGGCTGGAACCCGGCCCCCTCGCCCTGGCCCCCCTTCCCGGGGTAGCCCCTAGCCCGCTTTCTTCCTTGGCAGCATGATTGGGCTCATGTTGGGGACCTGCATTGCCTTCTATGTTGTCATCGGTGACCTGGGCTCCAGCTTCATTGCCCGGCTCTTTGGTTTTCAGGTAAGGACACTGTCGCATGGCGTGTTTACCCGTGGCTGCTAGATTATGAGCAGTGGCTAGCTGGGAGAACTGCCCACGACAGGACTCAGGGGCAGCTGCTTCCTAGCAATCAGTGTCTGTGGGCAGTAGAGCTGTAGAGGGCTCACAGGATAGGAGACCTGTCAGGGTCAGGCCTCAAGGCCTCCTGCGTCCTGGAATCAGGGTCCATGAGATTGGTGGGGTCCCCTGGGAAGACTGCAGGAGGATCAACCTCAGGGCCAGGATGCAGTCTGTCCGCAGAGCCCTGCTTCCCAAGCTGGCCCCCTGATGGACAAGCCTGTCAGGTCCAGAGAGTCAGCCCCATTCAGCTCTGTCCTGTGTCTCAGGTATGAGCATCTTCTTGGCTGCTGTGATGTGTAGGCAGGGGGGCCTCTAGGCATGCTGGGTGACAGGTGGCAAGGACTTTGCAGGCTCTGGGTACCTCCAGGCCGGAGTCGGTGGCTCCAGGTTTCCATGTTAACCGTTAGCGATGTCCAGCCTTCAGTGGTCAGACGGGACAGGACCTGTCTGGAGTATGTCCTGTCAGTCATCTGATTGTAGCTGTGTTAGCCGTCAGTGACGTCCAGGCCTCTGTGGTTGGCTAGGACAGGACCTTGACTCTGACCTCTCTGGAGTACTGGGGAATTGTCTAGAACAGAGCCTCCAGTCCTGCAGAAGCCGGCCAGGAGCACGCCGGAGCATCTCCCCCTCCCCAAGCCTGTGCGCCCACTCTGTGCAGAGGGGTTCTGTGGCCTGTGCGGTACAACAGTGGTCCCTGGTGGCCACACGGCGCAGCACACACAGGCTTGAGCCTGTGGCCTTGGGATTGTCCTCACATCCAAGGGACAGCCAGCCACCTTGGCTCGCATGGTCTCATTCTGTGGCTTCCTAAACCCTGTAGCGGCTAGAAGTGATCAGTGCCAGAGGCAGCACAGCACAGGGGCAAGAGAGAAGTTTCTAGAAGTTGGCTCATATTTGAGCCTCAGTGGCTTTCTGATCTTAGGTATAGCTGGCTCTGCGGGCCTGTGTCCTCACTTGTCCAGTGGACATGACCACAGACACGTGTGTGTCCTCGTCTCGTGGGAAGGGCTGCACGGTGGGGGTGACCTCACTTGTCCGTGGGCAGGACCGTGCTTGAGTGGCGGCCTGTTCCAGCGGCCCCTCACTTCCTCCTCCACCCCTCAGGTGACCGGCCACTTCCGTGTCTTCCTGCTGGTGGCAGTGTCCCTGGGCATCGTGCTGCCCCTCAGCCTGCAGAGGAACATGATGGCGTCCATCCAGTCCTTCAGCGCCATGGCCCTCATGTTCTACACGGTCTTCATGTGCGTGGTGCGTCGGCTGGCCTGGGGCGGGCCGCGGGCAGGGTGGAGCTGGAGTCTCGCACGGCCCCTCACGGCCCCTTCCCACAGATCGTGCTGTCCTCACTCAAGCACGGCCTCTTCGGCGGCCAGTGGCTGCGGCGGGTCAGCTACGTGCGCTGGGAGGGCGTCTTCCGCTGCATCCCCATCTTTGGCATGTCCTTCGCCTGCCAGTCGTAAGTAATCGCGTAGGGTTCACGGCTAGGAGGCTCCAGGGTGTGGGGGGCCATGGGTGGGAGGGCCGGGGGGGCGTGGCCAGAAGAGTCCAGGGTGTGGGGGGCTGTGGCCAGGAGGGTCCTGAGGGGTCATGGCCATCTGAGTCCCAGATGTGGGGTGCCATGGCCAGGATGGTCCTAGCTATGGGAGGGGGCATGGCCAGGAGGGTTCTGGGTTGGGGAGCTGTGGTCAGAAGGATCCTGGGTAGGGGAGGCTGTGGCCAGGAGGGTGCCAGCTATGGGAGGCCATGGCTAGGAGAGTGTGTGGGGACAGCAGCCAGGAGGCTTGAGTGAGGAAGTTCTGAGGTGTAGGGGACTGTGGTGTGGGTCCACGATGAGGGGGGCCCTGTTCAGAGGGGTCCTGTGTGCTTGGAGTCTGGTCACAGTGTGGAGGTCCTGGTGCAGGACTGCAGCAGGGGGGCCTGCTCCTCTCCTGTCCCCTCCTCACATGTCCAAGAGTACATCCTGCTCTCCTGGCCCCCGAGATATGCTGGTGTCAGGGGCTGAGCGGTGTGAGGGCTGGTGGGCCGTGTCCTCCAGAGCCGACCTGGCGGTGGGCTCAGCTTAAGCCCAGCTCCATCCGAGGAGGGCCCACCATTCCCGCAGGATCAAGCTGTTCTGTCTGTGGGTGGAGGAGGCTTGCAGACGCCGTTCTGAGATGAGTGTGGGGCGGCTCTCAGACACGGCTGTGTCTGTGTGTGTGCGTGTGTGGGCTGATGTGTGTGTGTACATGTGTACTCTACATAGCTCTGTGGCCACCCGTCCATTTTCTGTACGTCTGCTGTCTGTGCGGCCCAGTGGGCGGGGGGGTGTGTGTCTATGCGCGCGTGGTAAGGTCATCAGCACATGCCTTTCTGCTTCAGAGAGGGGATCCAGGTCGTGTGAGTGTGGGAGAGAGTCACCAGTACACCTGCAGGTCTGATCAGGTGAGGGCCATGAGCTCAGGTGTCCTGGCTCCTGTAAGGGTCATTCAGGCCTGAGGATGCGTCCTAGTGCCCCAAGTGGAGGCCTTGCCAACCCCACACCTGTGCCAGCATTCACAGGGCAAGGTGTGTGGATGTCTGCCAGGTGCAGGCAGTGTTGGGAGGTGAAGACGCTGGCCAGCCCCAGCCCACGTGCGCCTCCAGCTGCCTCCAGGGAGGAGCAGGCCTCCCAGTGAGCTCCGTCTGAGAGCTGGTGAGGCTGGCCCCAAGTGGGCCCGTCTGTGTGCAGGGCAGAGGCAGGCACCAGGGCTCACGTGGAAGCTCCCCTGGGCCGAGGGCGGCCTGGGAATGGGGTCTAGGGAGCAGTGTCCCTCTGCCTTAGCGTGGCCACCGTGGCCAGAAGCGTGCTCCCGTGTAGGTCTTGGGACATGCAGCCCGTGGGGGCTGGGGCTCACCTTCTGCACGCTCCTCCTGTGCTAACAGCAACTTCTGTGGCTCCTGACGTGTTTATGGGATGAATCCTGGGATCCCCTGATGGGCCACCATGTTTGAGCTTTCAGCTGCTGCTACGGTTGGTCGGGCCACAGCCGTCCAGATGCCGGCCTCTCCTGGACAGAGGGACAGGCCAGCTGCCTCTGTCTGGGTCTTGCCCCCTCCTGGGAGTGGGACTGGGGAGGGGGAAAGGCAGAGCCCAAGGAGAAGAGCGGTGTCACGCCCTTGACCCCTGCTGCCCACGCAGGCCTGGTGGGGGTCAGCACGCCCTTGCCCCGTGCTTGCTGTGCTGTTGCCCAGTAAAGTTCACCTCTGCATCCTCCCTTGCTGTGTGTGTGTATTGGGGTGCGTGTGTGAGAGAAAGGGGTCTGTTCAGGGCCTTTACCACTGGTTTTATTGGGTTGCGTGTGTCCGTGTTGAGGTGCTGAAGTTTGCTGCTGTTTCAGAGCTCCCATGCCCCTTGGGGATGTCGAGACCCGAACTTCCTTCCAGCTTCGGGTTCTGGTCTCCCTCTTTGGGGACGACTTTCGATGCAAGTGTGTCCCTGGCTGCCCCGGGTTCTGGTCTGTCTTCTGTGGTTCCTTTGCCGCTTGGCAGTGTGTCTGCAGCAGGCCCAGGCTGCCTCGCTGTGACGTGTACGTTACAGTTTTGACTTTAAGAGCTCAGTCCGTTGAGTTAGTCTGCGCCGGTGTGGGGCTTGGGTCCTGTTAGCTCCGTCATGTTCAGGAGGCGGCTTTGAGGTGGGCTTTGCTGACTGTTGGGTTGCCATTGGGTTGGTTAGGGTGACCCCATGTGTGTAGAGTGCAAGGGCTTTTTAGGGTTCTCCAGAAGATTTCCAGGCCTTTCCTTGAATGCATCTGGGGATAAACTTGAACCTGACCCCACAGCACAGGGAAGCAGCCACCCACTCTCAGTTCCTTCCTCCACTTCCTTCCGGTCAAGCCCCCTTGCCAGTCCCCCACTGCAGTTCCCTCTTCCCTGCTGCACTGACACCCCGCAGCCCCCAAGGGATGCCCTCTTTCTATTACTGGAGCCCCTCCAGCTGCAGCTTCACTTCCTGCCATGGACAACAGGTTGGGGTCCCCTAGCCCACCTGACACTCTGTGCCCACTTTCCTGAGTTGTGGACAATAGAAGGCATTACAGGTGTGAAAAACAGAGTGTCTCTAACAGCATCCTGTTCAGCGACAGGAGACCTTGGCATCAGCTCGCAGTGTCACCGCTGGGGACACATACAGGGCGGCCCCAGAGGCCAGGGCATGGCGGGCAGGGCTGCTGACCTCGCTGTGATCTGCTTGTGCCTCTGCAGCCAGGTCCTGCCCACTTACGACAGCCTGGACGAGCCATCAGTGAAGACCATGAGCTCCATCTTCGCGTCCTCCCTTAACGTGGTCACCACCTTCTACATCACGGTAGGAGCCTCCCCAGCCGCGCTGTGGCCTCGCTGGGTCCGGTGGGCCTCTCCCCGCCAGCTTCCCGCGGCCCCCGACGGCGACACCCTGTCCAGGCTCCAAGGCCGCACTGCCGGGCTCACACTGTGCCTGCTTTGGGCTTGCGGTGGGCAGGACTCCGCCTCTGCTCTCCCTCCAGGTGGGGTTTTTCGGCTACGTCAGCTTCACAGAGGCCATCGCCGGCAATGTGCTCATGCACTTCTCCTCGAACGTGGTGACCGAGGTCCTGCGCATGGGCTTCCTCATGTCCGTGGCCGTGGGCTTCCCCATGATGATCCTGCCCTGCAGGCAGGCCCTCAACACCCTGCTCTTCGAACAGCAGGTGAGTCACAGGCCTGGCCTGCGCCTTCTCTCCAGCCCCTCCCCTCGGACTATGCCCCTTCTGTCCTCCGTGCCCCTCAGACCCCTCCCGCTGGCCCCGCCCCTGCAACCCCCTTCTCCATCACCTTTGCTACATCCTAGGAAGAGGTGGTGTTCCCTGAGGGGCGTCTGGTTAGAATGAGATCTCTTACTGCGGAGGGTTTAGATTGACTAACTTTGGAACTCTTGTTCTGTCTGCAGCAGAAGGACGGGACTTTCGCCGCTGGCGGGTACATGCCTCCTCTCCGCTTCAAGGCGCTCACCCTGGCAGTGGTGTTTGGGACCATGGTCGGTGGGATCCTGATCCCCAATGGTGAGGGACTGCATGGGTAGTGGGGCCCCTGCTGGATTTCCTGTGCCGGGTGGGGCCAGCATGGTCCGTGACTAACAGCACACGTGATCATCTCAGAGGAAGGTTTAGGACCTGAGCAGGGTGTGGTGTCAGCCCAGGCCTGGTCCTCAGGGCTGTTGTGGACCCTCTGGGGACAGGGCGCCCACCTCTCTCACTTGGCTCAGGACTGGAGACGCTGGACCGCCAGGCTTCAGCCCAGCTTCCCTGTCCTTGGTAGCCCTGGTGTGGAGCCCATGGTTTGGGCAAAAGGGCCCTGGACTGGACATCAGGGTCCTTCTCTCTGCTCAGACATGCCCCTGTGGCTGTCCGCCCAGCCTGCCCTGCTGGGTGCCCCGTGGACCTGGCTTGCGGTCATTTTGGACAAAGCCCGAACTCCGCAGCTCCTCTGCCCTAGTTTGTCCTGCCCTGGAGGCAGCGCCGGCTCGTGGGGACCTTGTAGGGTGGAGACATGGCTGTTCAGCAGAAGGCTGCAGTCTGTGGGTACGGACCCCAGGCATTTTCTTCGGCAGCATGGCTGAGGGTCAAACCACCTTTCGGGAAGCAGCGGGGGCCTTGCCTCTGTGCCCCCAGATCTCTCCCGTGGTGCCCCTCTGAGTGGTGCAGATGGTTTCAGCTCTCTGCAGCCAGAGGTTTGGTGGTTGGAACCTGCCTAGGGGTGCTGCTGAAGAAAAGGTGATGTCACTTTGTGTCACACAGGTTGTCTTGATCACAGCGGGTTTGGTTCCTTGGGAAGGGCTGGACTCCTGTTTCCTGGTGGGGAAGGGGCTTACGTGGTGGCTTGGGGTCCAGGGGCAGTAACAACCCCAGATTCCAGTGGCACCCAGTCCTCAGCTGGTGGACGGGACGCGAGGCGGACAGGACGCGAGTAGGGAGCTGCTCAGGAAGCCTGCAGCAGGGCCCTGTGGGCACTCACACCGCCCTTTGTCCCCACCCCAGTGGAAACAGTGCTCGGTCTCACGGGAGCAACCATGGGCAGCCTCATCTGCTTCGTGTGCCCTGCTCTCATCTACAGGAAGGTGCACAAGAACGCCCTCTCAGCACAGGTGAGCATGGGATCCGTCCAGGTGAGTGTGAGGCTGGCCCAGGTGTGTGTGTGACCCAGGTGAGCATGAGGTTGGCCCAGGTGTGTGTGTGGTGGGCCCAGGTGAACGTGAGGCTGGCCCAGGTGAGCATGAGGTTGGCCCAGGTGTGTGTGTGACCCAGGTGAGCATGAGGTTGGCCCAGGTGTGTGTGTGGTGGGCCCAGGTGAACGTGAGGCTGGCCCAGGTGTGTGTGTGGCAGGCCCAGGTGAATGTGAGGCTGGCCCAGGTGTGCATGTGACAGACCCAGGTGAGCATGAGGTTGGCCCAGGTGTGTGTGTGTGTGTGTGGTGGGCCCAGGTGAACGTGAGGCTGGCCCAGGTGAGCACGAGGCTGGCCCAGGTGAACATGAGGCTGGCCCAGGTGTGCATGAGGCAGGCGCAGGTGAGCACGAGGCTGGCCCAGGTGAACGTGAGGCTAGCCCAGGTGTGCATGAGGCAGGCGCAGGTGAGCA